TTAGCCATCATGGCAATCATTTGGAAAAAAGCCTGAACCCACTGAGGCATGAAAAGGAGGTGATGATGCTGTTTAGCACCGAGATGCACTGCAGTGTCTACGTTTTACTGTGTTGTGTGTGCTGTGAGCAACCAAACCAGCCTGGAAGGGAACTGCTTCCCTTTAAGTCCACGCTGCAACCAGTTTTCAAGGTGAGCTGACGCCGCTCTAGGATCCCAGTTTCCTGTTAGGCGCCTCATGTCTATCAGGATCTCCTGTTGTCAGAAGCAATGCAAATACACAGCCCTCATATTGATGGCTATATGGAGTTTCCTTTATTTATTTATTTATTTTTGCTTTTGTTTTATTGCTGTTTTGTAAGTTTCCATGAATATTCCGGTACCATCTTGGAGTACAGGGTATACAGGGGATGAGAATTTTCTTTGGCATTTCATAGCTCTGGGTTTGGGACCTCTGGTTAGACGGCATGTGGGTGAAAGAGAAAGTCCTCTCTTGTAAGCCATTCTGTGCCCTAAGAAGGATCAGGGTCTGCTGGTGTGAACCCCAATTATCTGAGACAGGTCTCCGTCAATTTAGAAAGTTTATTTTGCCAAGGCTAAGGACGTGCCTGTGACACAGCCTCAGGAGGTCCTGATGACATGTGCCCAAGGTGGCCGGGCACAGCTTGGTTTTGTACATTTTAGGGAGACAGGAGCCATCTATTAATATATGTAAGATGAACATTGGTTCCATCCAAAAAGGTGGGACCACTCAAAGTGGGGAGGGGGACTTCCAGGTCATAGGTAAACAAATGGTTTCTTTCTCTCTTTCTTTTTTTTTGAGACAGAGTCTCACTCTGTCACCCAGGCTGTAGTACAATAGTGCGATCTCAGCTCACTGCAACCTCCACCTCCAAGGTTCAAGCAATTCTCCTGCCTCAGCCCCCTGAGGAGCTGGGATTACAGGCGTGTGCCATGATGACTGGCTAATTTTCTGTATGTTTAGTAGAGACCAGGTTTCACCAAGTTGGCTAGGCTGTTCTCGAACTCCTGACCTCAGGTGATTCATTTACCTCTGCCTCCGAAAGTGCTGGGATTAAAGGCATGAGCCATCAGGTCCAGCTTTATTTTTTACTTATTTTTGAGACACAGTTTTGCTTTTGTTGCCCGGGCTGGAGTGCAGTGGCATGATCTCGGCTCACTGCAACCTCTGCCTCCCGGGTTCAACTGAGTCTCCTACCACAGCCTCCTGAGTAGCTGGGATTACAGGTGCCCACCACCATGCCCGGCTAATTTTTGTATTTTTAGTAGAGACAGGGTTTCATCATGTTGGCTAGGCTGGTCTCAGAATCCTAACCTCAGGTACGCCTCCCACCTCAGCCTCCCAAAGTGCTGGGATTACAAGTGTGAGCCACTGCACCCAACCTCTTTTGAGTTTTGCCTTTCACTGAACACACGACTTACAGGAATAATCACTGATGCCTTAATATGGCTTTGTGCAACAATAGCAGAGAGGAAGCCACCAGATACACATTTGTCTCATGTGAACAGAGGGATGACTTTGGTTCTGCCTGTCCTCTGTCCACAGGGAATTTCTTCGCAGGGAAGTTGTGAGGGAGGGATGTAGCTTTTTATTTTTATTTTCTTTTTTTAATTGCATTTTAGGTTTTGAGGTACATGTGAAGAACATGCAAGATTGTTGCATAGGTACACACATGGCAGTGTGATTTGCTGCCTTCCTCCCTATCACCTATATCTGGCATTTCTCCCCATGCTATCTCTCCCCAACTCCCCACCCCAACTGTCCTTCCCCTATATCCCCCCGACAGACCCCAGTGTGTGATGCTCCCCTCCCTGTGTTCTCATTGTTCAACACCCACCTATAAGTGAGAACATGCGGTGTTTGGTTTTCTGTTCTTGTGTCAGTTTGCTAAGAATGATGGTTTCCCAGTTCATCCATGTCCCTGCAAAGAACACGAACTCATCATTTTTTATGGCTGCATAGTATTCCATGGTGTGTATGTGCCACATTTTCCCTGTCCAGTCTATCATCGATGGGCATTTGGGTTGGTTCCAAGTCTTTGCTATTGTAAACAGTGCCACAATGAACATTCGTGTGCATGTGTCCTTATAATAGAATTATTTATAGTCCTTTGGATATATACCCAGTAATGGGATTGTTGGGTCAAATGGAATTTCTATTTCTAGGTCCTTGAGGAATTGCCACACTGTCTTCCACAATGGTTGAACTAATTTACACTCCCACCAACGGTGTAAAAGTGTTCCTTTTTCTCCACATCCTCTCCAGCATCTGTTGTCTCCAGATTTTTTAATGATCGTCATTCTAACTGGCGTGAGATGTTATCTCAATGTAGTTTTGATTTGCATCTCTCTAATGACCAATGATGATGAGCATTTTTTCACACGTTTGTTGGCCTCATATTAAGTCTTCTTTTGTAAAGTGTCTGTTTATATCCTTTGCCCACTTTTGAATGTTTGTTTATCTCTTGTAAATCTGTTTTAGTTCTTTGTAGATTCTGGATATCAGCCCTTTGTCAGATGGGTAGACTGCAAAAATTTTTTCCCATTCTGTTGGTTGCCGATTCACTCTAATGACTGTTTCTTTTGCTGTGCAGAAGCTGTGGAGTTTGATTAGGTCCCATTTGTCTATTTTGGCTTTTGTTGCCAATGCTTTTGGTATTTTGGTCATGAAGTCCTTGCCTATGCCTATGTCGTGAATGGTTTGGGAACAGAATGGAAGGCGTTGAATTTTCCCTTTGGCTTAGTGATTATGGGGGGAGATTTATTTTCCTTTCACACTGGCTATAAAACACGAAGTACTTCATTAGTGATTCTTAGCCCGGGTTCAAATGGAAAAGAAACCATGCTGGTTTGAGGATTTAGGGTGGTATAATACTGCCATCATCAGGGCATATTTTGATATAAAAAAGAAAGGCATTCTAGACGTGTCAGCCTTAGGAAAAAGATGAAAGTATTAGAAACTCCACATTCAAAGAGGCCAGGAAGGCCAGGTGCCAAGGCTCACGCCTGCAATCCCAGCACTTTGGGAGGCCAAGGCAGTGGATCACCTGAGGTCGGGATGTGGAGACCAGCCTGGCCAACATGGTGAAACCGTCTCTACTGAAAAACAAAGATTAGCCGGGCATGGTGGCATGTGCCTGTATTCCCAGCTACTTGGGAGGCTGAGGCAGGAGAATCACTTGCACCCAAGAGTTGGAGGTTGCAGTGAGCCAAAATCACGGCATTGCACTTCAGCCTGGTCAACAAGAGGGAAACTGTTTTTTCTTTTTCTTTGTTTGTTTTCTTTAAAAAAAAAAAAAAAAGTCTAGGGAGACCACAAAATCAAGATAAGGAGTGTTCTTTTCGAGGTTGATTTGCTTCTCTCATTGTCTCTCTCTTTCCCTCATGGCAGAACGGTTAAGGGTACTGATTCTGGCATGAGACTCCCATTTAAATACCTTCCCAGCTGTGTAGCTTTGGGTAAGTTACTTAACCCCTCGGTGCCTTCACGTCTCAGTTTCCTCATTCCTAAAACAGTGTCATAATTCAAGCCCTCAGAAAAGCAAACACCAGAACAGAATTCCCATGTGAAGATAAACAGGTGAGGGGCCAGAGGGTCTCAGAGCAGTTCAGAGAAAGTGTCTGCCAGGCTGATGGGGTGTCCCTATACCAGTATCCCCGATGAGCATTCACGGGGCAGAGAACGGGCAGCTGTTGCCGTGGAGCAGCCCTGGCAGGGGATGGTGGCAGCGCCCGAGCAACAGGACCAGGAGCACAGGGGACCTGAAACCAGCAGAGAAGTTCATCTTGCTCATCAATATACAGCTGATTTATCAAGGCAGGAGAAATGCAATAGAGGAAAAAATTCAAAACACGTGCAGCCAGCTGGGCATGATGGCTCACGCCTATAATCCCAGCACTTTGGGAGGCCAAGACAGGTGGATCACAAGGTCAGGAGTTCGATACTAGCCTGACCTACACAGTGAAACCCAGGCAATGTATACTAAAAATACAAGAATTATCTGGGTGTGGTGGTGCACGCCTGTAGTCCCAGCTACTCAGAAGGCTGAGGCAGGAGAATCGCTTCAACCCAGGAGGCAGAGCTTGCAGTGAGCTGAGATGGCACTGCTGCACTCCAGCCTGGGCAACAGAGTGAGACTCCCTCTAAAAAAATTGAAAAAAAAAAAAAAAATGTACAGCAGTCTAAATGGGGAACCTGAAAATTTGGAGATCTGGAGGCTAGAGTTTTTCAAAGACAGTTTGGTGGACAGGGGACCAGGAAACGGGTGCTGCCAATTGGTCCTGGACGCATGGAAATAAAGGATCCTTGTGTGCTCAGTTTGTTTCTGGGTGGGGGCCACAGGAATCATCCAGTTGTCAGAATGCAAAAGTTCTTTTCTTTTTTTCAGACAGAATCTCTTGCTCTGTCGACCAGGCTGGAGTGCAGTGGCACAATCTCGGCTCAGTGCAACCTCCGCCTCCTGGGTTCAAGCCATTATTGTGCCTCACCCTCCAATGTAGCTGGGTTTACAGGCATGTGTCACTACATCTGGCTAATTTTTGTATTTTTAGTAGAGATGCGTTTCACCACGTTGGCCAGGCTGGTCTCGAACTCCTGACCTCAGGTGATCCACCTGCCTAGGCTTCCCAAAGTGCTGGGATTACAAGCCTGAGCCACTGCACCTGGCCTAAGGTCGTAAATAACATCTCAAAAGGCCAGTCTTAGCTTCTCCACTAGTGATGTTTTTTACAGGAGTGATTGGAGGAGTCACAAATACTGTGATCAGCTGAACAAGGGCCGGCAATTGTTAACAAAGTCTACATCTGAGCAGAATTCAGGCCCTCTTCCCAACCCTAACTTGGTGGTCTCAGTTTTATAAGGCGGTTTGGTTTGAGAGAGTCTATTATTACTGTAAATACTTCCCGGGGCCAGTTTGGCCCACACCTAGCACTGACCAAGGGCAGTTTGGAGGTTAGAGAGATGGAGTGGGTTAGGTCAGATTTCTCATAGTCATAATTTTCTATTACCATTTTTGCAAAAGCAGTTTGAAGCCCTGCAGGTGACTCTGGCCATGTTGACAGCTTTGGGCTCAACCACCCACCGCCTCTTCCCCACCGCAGCCACCTGACCTCTATTACCCTGATCCCAATTAGATGGATCCTGGCTCAACTTCCCGTGCTTTTCGCCCGCTCGGCTCCTCCCACTTGGCCTCAGCTCCTCCCACCCAGTCTTGGCTCCTTCCATTTGGCCTCGTCTCCTTTCACCAGCCTCGTCTCCTCTCACCCAGCCTCGGCTACCACCTCTGCTACCCGCTGGACCTCGGCTTTCCAGGACCTGCTTCGGTTAGTTCGTCCCCAACCCCCACACTGGCTCCCAGCTTCCGCTCTTTCTGCCCAGCTCGGCTCCCCCGCCAGCCCTCGCCACAGGTGCCATCCTCCGCTCGCCCTGTCTACCCCGCGACCTACCTCCCTAGTGTGGCGCCGCTTTTCGGCCCAGTTCGGATCCTCCCGCCCAGCCTCGGCTACCCCCGTTACACATCGGCTTTCCCCGCCTGGGTTCGATTCCTCCGTGCCTGGCCTCTGCTCTTTCCGCCCAGCTTCGGCTTTACCACCACCCCCCCGCCCACCCGCCCCCGCCCCGAGTCCTCGCCTCGCACCCCAGCGTGGAGCCACCTATTTGTTCCTCACTGTCTCGGACCTGAGACCTCCCTTCTCTCCGCGCCTGGCCCTGGCTCGGCTTCTTAGCCGTGATTCCCGCTGCTTTTCGGCCTGGCTCGCTCCTGCCACTGGCTATGGCTCTTCCTGTTTCTCTCGGCCGACCTCGGCTCCCACCGCTCCTCGGCTCAGTTTGTTCAGTTCGGTTTTCTCCGCCTGGCCTCGGTTTTCTCCGATTTCCCTGCTTCAGTTCGGCTTTTTCCGCCGATGGTACCCTGGGCTCGGCTTGGCTCTGGGTCAGGTTGGATCCTCTTTTTAGTCTGCGGAGGTTGCACTAATGGAGTTCCCGTCATTATAATATGGAGGTACCACTGTCTCCAGATCCTGGCCAATCTGTTATGTTTTTATTTTTATTTTTTATTTTTTGAGAGAAGGAAAGAAAAAATGAGTAAAGGAGAGAAAGAAAGGAAGAGAAAGAGGGAGGGTGAACGGAAATATTGCTTTATTCTGAAAAAAAATGGGTATTAATAATGGCCAATCAATGTTTCATTTAAACCTATGAGTAGGTATGATGTGGTATTGACAAGAATGTATATTTTATGTATTTGAAGTGGAGAGCTCTATAAATATTTATTAAGTTTACTTGTTCCGGATCTGAGTTCGAGTCCTTGATATCCTTATTAATTTTCTGTCTCATTGAATCTAAGTCTCTATGTATCTGGGTGTTAGGATCGTTAGCTCTTGTTGTTGCATTGATCCTTTTACCACTATATCTTTGTTGCTTTAAAATCTATTTTATCCACTACGAGAATTGCAACTCCTGCTTTTTATTTATTTATTTATTTATTTATTTATTTATTTTTGCTCTCCATTTGGTTGGTAAATCTTTCTCCATTCCTTTGAGTCTTTGTGTATCCTTGCATGTGAAACAGGTCTGGATGTAACATGCCATTGGGTTTTGGCTGTGTCTTTTGATTGGGGGATTTAGTCGATTTAAATTTAGGGTTACTGCCATTTGATGTTAACTGGCTGTTTGATCCATTCGTTGATGAAAATTCTTCTTTATGTTGGTGCTCTTTACTTTTTGGTATATTTTTAGTAAGGCTAATACTGGTTGTTTCTTTCTGTGTGTAATGCCTCTTTCAGAAGCTCTTGTAAAGCAGGCCTGGTGGTAATAAAAATCTCTGAGTACTTGCTTGTTCATAAAAGATTTTATTTTTCCTTCAGTTGTGAAGCTTAGTTTGGCTGGATATGAAATTCTGGGCTGAAGGTTCTGTTCTTTGAGGATGTTGAATATTGGCCCCCACTCTCTTCTGGCTTGTAGAGTTTCTGCTGAGAGATCTGCTGTAAGTCTGATAGGCTTGCCTTTGTAAGTAACCTGACCTTTCTCTCTGGCTGCCCTTAGTATTTTCTCCTTCACTTCAACCCTGGTGAATCTAACGATTATGTCCTTGGGGTTGCTCTTCTTGAGGAATATCTTTGTGGTGTTCTCTGTATTACCTGGGGTGGAATACTGACCTGCTTTGCTAGTTCAGGAAAATTTTCCTGAATAATATCCTGAAGGGTATTTTCCAGCTTGGATTCATTCTCTCCGTCGCATTCAGGTACACCTATCAAACGTAAATTTGGTCTTTTCACATAGTCCCACATTTCTTGGAGACTTTGCTCATTCCTTTTTATCCTTTTATCTCTAATCTTGTCGTTTTGTTTTCTTTCATTAAGTTGGACTTTGACCTCTGTTATCCTTTCTTCTGCTTGAACAATTCGAGTGTTTAAACCTGTGCATACTTCTCAGAGTTCCTGTATTGTATTCTTCAGTTCCATTAATTCACTTATATTCCTCTCTAAGTTGTCTATTCTCAATAGAATTTCATCAAACCTTTTTTCAAAGTTCCTAGTTTCTTTACGTTGGGCTACAACATGTTCTTTTAACTCACAGAAGTTTCTTATTATCCATTCCCTGAAGAGCGATTCTGTCATTGAGATGCGCTCGTTCTCCATCAAGCCTTGTTCCATTGTTGATGTGGAACTGTGATCATCTTTAGAGGGAGAGGCGTTCTGATTTTGAGTATTCTCAGCCTTTTTACACTGGTTTCTTCCCATCATTGTAAATTTATCCTCCTGCTGTCTTTGAAATTACCAACTTTCAGATTAGGTCTCTTGATTGGACATCCACGTTGTTAGTTCCCAGAGCCAGAACGGTGGTGTTAAGACTGATGGTGCTTTTCTGCCCAGGATTCTCCTGTCGGGCTTCCTTCTTGTGTCCGTAATGGGCGACTCTGCCTTCCCCGGGCTCCAAACCTCGGTCAGAAGGGGAACCAGTCTCGTTTACTCTGCACCAAGAGCTGCCACGCTGAGAATTGCCGGGCTGAGGTGCCATCACAGCCGCTGCGCCAGTCTCAGGAGTCGTGCTGGGGACCCGTGTGGGTCCTCCAAACCTCGGTCAAAAGGGGAGCCGGCCCTGTTTACTCTGCTTCGAGAGCTGCCGTGCCGAGGTGCTGGCGAAGCCGCTGCACCAGCCACAAGAATCACGCTGGCGACCCGTGTGGGTCCTCCAAGCCTCGGTCAGAAGGGGAGCCAGCCCTGTTTACTCTGCTCTGAGAGCTGTCGTGCCGAGGTGCCAGCGAAATCGCTGCGCTGGCCACAAGAGTCGCGCTGGCGACCTGTGTGGTTCCTCCACTGGGGATCTTCTGCTCCGTGAGCGACCAGAATTTGTCTGAAAGTGGGGCGTCCTCTAGTTCTCTGCGCTTTGACTGAGAGCTATAATCCCGAGCTGTTATCGATTGGCCATCTTGGATCTGAATCTGTTATCTTTTTAAAGTAAAAAGAAAACAGTTACCGATCTGATCAATGATAAAGGAAATCTCAATGTTTTACTTTCAGTTTTTCTTAGGAGAGCCACTTGTATGTATTTCTGTGAACTGTTGTTAGCATTTGCACTTTAGTTAACTTTTGGTCTTTCTCTTATTGCTTGGTAGGAGTTCGAATATGAGCAGTGTTCAAGCATGGGAATAATTTTTGGAAAAATGTACAGGAACATTCATCAGTAACATTTTGCTATAGTTGCTTTGTCATATGCACCTCTGTATCAGCCATCAATTCATCTTTTTTAGTGCATTCTGAAGTAGGTTGCAGATAGTTTACATATCATTAATTCGAGTTCAAAATTTGGGTCTGGAGGTCTTCTAAGATGGCTCATCCCCTGGCTAGCAATGTGGTGCTGGTGAGTTGGTTCCTGGTCGCGGGACTGCTTGAATCTCCTCATAGCATGGCGGATGGCTTCCCCTAGAGAAGGAGCAATAGAAGAGACCCAGGAGGAAACTTCAGTGTGTCTTATGACCTAGTCTCAGATGTCACACGCAGCAGTGCTGTACTGATCATATTGGTTCATGTCTGATTCAGCACTGGAGGTGGGGTACACAGGACTGGAATATCAGGTGGCAAGGGTCTTTGGTGAACATCCTGAAGGCTAGCCAACACATCCACCTTTCCTTCAGACCATCTCTTTTCATCAGCTCAGAATTTTGTGTGTGTGTGTGTGTGCGTGCATACGCGCTGGAGTGCCTGATCTGATTGTAGCTTTTTGGAGCATCTGGAATTCATGGCTGGGTTTGAGACAACTTGGAAGGCCTCCTTTCCCCTCTTCTCTTTTACCCTTACCCCCAGCTCTAGTCTTTCTTTGCTTCTAGTGACCGAGTAGGAGAAGATGCTCTGAGAGTCAACTGGGAATTCGGCTGCTAAGGGTCTTCTGGGAGAAGATGTTGGAAGGTTTGCTTGCTGGGCTGTATCACCTCCTGCATTATGGGAGCTTGGAGTATTTGCCAACTCGTCAGGACTACCATTGCCTTCCATGTTCTGAGACTGGAGTACCCAACATTCCCCTGGCAGGGGACACTTGATTTGATAGGTCTCTATCAACCTATAATGTGGGGGTAGATACTCTTATGCAAGGGGAGGCTGCGAGAGTTGCCTGCTGGGGTTAAGATTATTCCTTGTGTTTGGGATAAAGGAGGGGTCACTGTAGGGGCAGGCAAGTCATGTTAGGGGTGACAGGGGATTTGTATTCTGGGCTCCCCTCCTCCTTTATGTTAAGGGTATTGCTTGCTGATGCTTCTATCAACTCTTACTTTGGGGTAATGGGAAGAGAGGTTGTTTTCTGGGGTATAAGTTTGTCACTGATGCTGTCGAATTGGGTGGGCTGCCTGTTGAGTTTCTGACCATTCCTTGTTTTGGGTATCATTGCTGGGGAGACTCATGTATAGTCTTGGAAAGACAAGGGATGCATGTTTGAGCTGTGTTGGGTAAGAATGGTGGCATTTGCTGGATTTCCTTTCTTGAGTGTGTAGAGGATTGGGGGTTGTTTCTGGAGTTTCCATCATGTGGGAGGCATATGGGGAATCACTCGGTGAAGTGTTCATCGTCTGTGATGTTGGAGGTAACTGGAAGGTCAGTGCCTGGGGCTTCCATTCTTTTCTAGTGTTGGGGAGATCAAGAGGATTTATCAGATAAGAGACCTTATTGTGTACTGTTTGGGGAGAGGATGGTGGGATTATTGGATGGAGCTCCTTATCCCTAGTTGGGGAGGGTCATGTTCTGGATCTCCCCTTGTCTGTACTGTTGGTATAGACTGGGTGGGCCATTGGGCTTGGGCTCCCCATTCTCTTGCGTTGAGGGACATCTGAAAGGGTCATTTCAGGGGTTTCTGTTTATAGTTTTAGAGGTGACTGAGGGGTTTGCTGGAGTAGTTTTGGGATGATGGAGGTCTTCATGTCTGGACTTTTTTTTTTTTTTTTTTTTTTTGAGATGGAGTCTTGCTCTGTTGCCAGGCTGGAGTGCAGTGGCACGTCTTGGCTTGCTGCAACCTCTGCCTCCTGGATTCAAGCAGTTCTCCTGCCTCAGCCTCCTGTAGCTGGGACTACAGGAGCACATCACCACACCTGGCTAATTTTTTTGTATTTTAGTAGAGATGGGGTTTCACCATGTTGGCCAGGATGGTCTCAATCTCTAGACCTTGTGACCCACCTGCCTCGGCCTCTTAAAATGCTGGGATTACAGGCATGAGCCTCTACACCCAGCCTGGAATCCACCTTTTGTGTTTGTAAGTGATTGAGGGATGGAGATCTGACGTCTTGTTGCCTTTTGTTTTGGGGGAAGCTGGTGGTTTACCTGCTAGGGCTTCTGCCAGCTCTCCTGCTGTATGTAGATTTTGAGAATCATTTGTTGTGGCTTCCACAATCTCAAGTCTTAGGGGGATTGGGAAATGGCTTGCCATGCCTTCTGTCATCTCTAGTTTTAAGGGACCAGTTCAACGTGATTTAAAACTTTTTATTTGGAAAAAAAATTAGGGCTGGGCATGTTGGCTCATGCCTATAATCCCAATACTTTGGGAGGCTGAGATAGGTGGATCCCTTGAAGTCAGGAGTTTGAGACCAACCTGACCACCATGGCGAAACCCGGTCTCTACTAAAAATATAAAAATTTAGCCTGGTGTGGTGATGCATGCCTGTAATCCCAGCTACTTGGAGGCTGAGGCAGGAGAATTGCTTGAACCTGGGAGGAGGTTGCAGTGAGCCAAACCTGGGCAATAAGTGAGACTCCCTCTCAAAAAATAGAAAAGAAAAAATTAGACCAGCCAGTGCATCAGAGACTTCGTCTTAAAAGAAAAAAAATTAGACATAAAGTGTTAAAAATCTACAGGCTTGTTTTTTGTTTTTTTTGAGACAGTCTTGCATCGTGGCCAGGTTGGAGTGCAGTGGCACTATCTCGGCTCACTGCAACCTCTGCCTTCCAGATTAAAGCGATTCTCCTGCCTCACCCTCCTGAGTAGCTGGGGCTACAAGTTGCTGCCACTGTGCCCAGCTAATTTTTGGTATTTTTAGTAGAGATGGGGTTTCATTGTGTTAACCAGGATGGTCTTGATCCCCTGACCTCGTGATACACCTGCTGGCCTCCCAAAGTGCTGGGATTACAGGCGTGAGCCACTGTGCCTCGCCATATTGTTGATTTTTCTGAAAATCCACCCCTCCCTGTTGGGAGAAATTGTGTCACGGGCAAAACTTGAGTTTCAGTCACTGCTCAAACAGTGCTTAGCTACAGAGAATGAATAATAAATAGGACAGTGGTTATGAGCAGGGAGTGTCTGGATTCCAATCTGTGCTCTACCACTTACTAACTGGTGAATTCAGGCAAGCAACCTAAACATTCCATGCTGGAGATAGTAATAGCACATACTTTACAAGCTTGTACTGAGTATGTAGTTAATATTCATAAGGCACTTTTGGGCTAGCTAAATGTTTGGTCTTTGTTAATGCATTTTAATATTAAAATTATTTGCTGTGAAAAAGGTATGGCCCCTACTGAAAAGAAACGTTTCACAAGAAAATATCTAAACCTCTGTTCACCTAGTGACATTACACATAAACATATATAAGGCAAAAATGACAGAATTACAGAAAGCATTTGTGAATCCACCATCCTCATGGAAGACTTTAATATACAACTAAGGTCGAGAGAAAAATTTAAAGTACATATTGAAAAACAAAACTAGTTTGAATACCTATGTCCATCTGTATCCAAAAATTAAAGAATATATAATATACTGTTTTCAGTCATGGAGCACTTACAAAAATACATCAATAAACAGATATTGAATTCACCTGGAAGCTAACAGAACCCCCTGGAAGCTAACAGAACCCCCTCCTCTCAAAAGCTTCTCTCTCTCTCTCTCTCTCCCCCCCCTCCCTCTCTCTCTCCCTCTCCCTCTCTCTCTCTCTCTCTCTCTCTCCCCCCCCTCCCCCTCCCTCTCCCCCTCCCCCTCCCCCCCCTCCCTCTCCCCCTCCCCCCCTCCCCCAGGCTTAAGTGATTCTTTTGCCTCAGCCTCCTGAGTAGCTGGGATTACAGGCACCTGTCACCACGCCTTGTTTTGTTTTTTTGTTGTTGTTTTAGTTTTGACCATGTTGGTCAGGCTGGTCTTGAACTCCTGACTTCAGGGGATCTGCCCCCTTCAACCTCCCCATAGTGCTGGGATTACAGGCATGAGCCACTGCGCCCAGCCCCACTGTATGTAGCTTTTCAATACTGCTGACAACTTGAATAAAATTGTTCTTTAAATAAGTAGGGAGAATGAACACTGAGAAGGAAATAGTATTTGCTAGATTAGGACAGAAAGAAAACTATCAAAATAAGAAAGTCCATGTACTCTGATAAAATGCTATTAAATTAGAAAAAAATATACCAAATATTGTCTATTTTCTATTTTAACAAACTAGATCACTCAGGAGCTATCTGGAAATGCCTTTTTGAATATTTGGTGTATTGATGTTTTAGAATGCAGTATACATAAAATGGTGTAGTAAGATTTTCAGGACAGCTATAGTCATAAATGCTTATATTAAAACAAAAAAGCTAAAAGTTAACGAGCTAGTGGCCCAACCTACAAATGAGATACTGGTGAAGCATTTATGCCTTTTCTTCTCAGTAAAAATTACTGTGTGGCCACTCAGTTAAGAGCCGAGGATTCCTAACATTGCTACATTCCTACAGCTTCCTCTATGTAAGTTCTCTCATGTATAAAGGGAGAAATCACTGAAAATTTTTCCAAAATTAATACTCATGGGTATTGCAGCCAAGGAATATTTCCTATCTTTCCTAATGGAAGAAGTATCACTGAAAATTTTCTCTCATCTTTTAAGAAGTTCTGGTTGGGTGCAGTGGGTCATTCTTGTATTCCCAGCACTTTGGGAGGCTGAGGGAGGTAGATTACTTGAGCCAACTTGAGAGCAGCCCTAGCAACATGGTGAAAACCCATCTTTACAAAAATGAGGCATGCTCATGCATGCCTGTAGTCCCAGCTACTTAGGAGACTGAGGTGGGAGGACCCTTGAGCCCTGGAGGTAGAGGTTGCAATAAGCCAAGATGGCACCACCACAATCCAGCCTGGGCTCAGATGAAATCCTCTCTCTCAAAAAAAAAAAAAAAAAAAAAAAAATGTGGCTGGGCATGGTGGCTCACACCTATAATCCGAGCACTTTGGGAGGCCAAGGTGGGGGGATCACGAGGTCAGGAGTTCGAGACCAGCCTGGGCAACATGGTAAAACCCCATCTCTACTAAAATAAAAAAAATTAGCTGGGCATGGTACCAGGCGCCAGTAATCCCCACTACTTGGAAGGCTGAGGCAGTGAGGCAGGAGAATCACTTGAGCCCAGGAAGTGAAGGTTTGCATTGTGCTGAGATTGTGCTGCTGTACTCCAGCCTGGGCAATAGACTGACTCTGTATCCAAAAACGATAGTTTCTTTACACTGAGTTAGGTTCCTAAAAAATGTTAAAAAAAAAAAACTGATGGAATTCATTGGTCTTTCTGGTATGAATCTTATTTCTTAAAAACTGAGAGAATATTCAAGGCTTTTATATCTTACCAATCCACACTATCTTGTGCTTGGTAATATGACTGCTCGTGTCGTTGGCTTTTCAACACTGTGTATACGCAACATACTCCTCTGTTGTATGGTTTCTGAAATGTGACTTAAGGAATGCATGTGCTCTGAATGCCTTTCCATTTTGATGCCACACATAGGGCTTCACCTTATTGTGAGTTGTCACGTGACTCCCTGGAGCCATCACCAAAGGCTTTCCTACAGCTACTGCGTTCCCTGGGCAGCTCCCCAGTAGATAATTTTTTAAGTAGGGGGAAAGAGTTTGACCTCAAGGTTTTACAATACAGATTACACTTGTAAGGTTTCTCTCTACAGTGAGTTAACCTGTGGGTTATTGAATGCTACTCTATATTGATCAGGTTAGAAGGTGAAGGGTTGGCTGGGTGTGGTGGCTCACACCTGTAATCCCAGTACTTTCAGAGGCCAGGATGAAAGGACTGCTTGAACCTAGGAGTTTGAGACTTGCCTGGGTAACGTGGCAAAACCCTCTCTTTAGTTAAAAAAAAAAAAAAAAAAATTAGCCAGGTGTGGTGGCATGCACCTGTAGTCCCATTGCTACATTGCAGGCTGTGGCAGGATGACTTGAGCCCAGGAAGTGGAGGTTGCAGTGAGCTGTGATCACACCACTGCATTGCAGCCTGGGTGACAGATTGCATTGTCTCCAAAAAAAAAAAAAAAAAGAGACAGAGGGTCTGCTGAAGGCTTTCCTCCACTGATTGATTCCATGGCAAACTTTCCAGATGGTTCCCAATGTCTGCTGTTTCTACTTCCTGGAGTCTTCTTCCACCCTGTATCAGGATTGGTGTGTGTGACCAATATAATAGGGACATGAAAACCTATCTTTCTGAAGCTAGGTCATAAAAGACATTATGATCTGTTGGCTCCTTTAGATAACTGGCTTTGGGGAGAACTTGCTGCCATAAAGAAATTCAGCCCTGCTGAGAGGCCTACATGATTTGGAAGTGTAGGTCCCTTGAAAACAGCTAGCATGAACTCGTCAGGCATGTGTGAGCCATTTCGGAAGTGGACCTTCCATCAGGACAAATTCTGGATGATTGTGGTCTGCTGACATCTGGACTGAAACCTCATGAGAGATCCTGAAGAGGAACTACAGAGCTGTGTTGTTTCTGAATTCCTGAATGATTTGTCACAATTTTTATAAGTTTTGTTGTTGGAAGCCACAAAATTTTGGGGGGTAATTCCTACATCTGGTGTGACTTCTCTCATGTTATCTGAGGATGAAAGATCAACAAATGCTTTCCCCACAGTTTTTGAATTCACAATTGTCTATTATGTATTCTCTTACGCAAAGAAAGGTTATAGTTAGTAGCAAAGAATTTCCCACAGTGATTACATTCATGGGGCTTTTCTCCAGCATGCGTTCTCGTGTGTTTCTTAACCAATGAGAGAACGTTAACGGCTTTTCCACAGTAATTGCATTTATAGGGTTTCTCTCCTGCGTACTGTAAGAGAAAATCTACGGGTGAAAGATGTTCCACACACATTACATTTGTAGGGTTTTTCTCCAGTATGAGTTCTTAAGTGTTGTCAGATTTGTGCTCCTCGTGAAGGTCTTCCCACAATCGTGGCATTCATAAGGTTTCTCCCCTGTGTGAATTCTATTGTGCAAAGTAAGAGACGACCTCGTGCAGAAAGCCTTTCCACACTGATTATATACATAATGATTCTCCCCCGTATGAGCTCTCTTGTGGCTTGTGAAGACAGAGTGCGGAACTCATGAAGACAATGGTTACATTTGTAGGGTTTTTCTCCATTGTGAATTCTCCAGGGCACACTAAGGGATGAGGAATTAATGAAGGCTTTCCCACAGTCACTGCATTCATAGGGCTTCTCCCCATTGTGGATTCTCTTATGAACAGTAAGGTAACATCTAATCCTGTTAGATGTGGGATTTCCCACACTCACTGCAGTCATAGGGTTTTTCTCCAGTATGAATCCTCTTGTGCCACGTAAGGGAAGATTTTGAGCTGAGGACTTTAAAACACTGATTACATTTGCTGAGTTTTGCTCCAAGATGATTTGTCTCCTGTTGATTAAGAGATGACTAGTAAGTACAATTTATAATATTTTTAGCACTGAATACTGTCATGGGTCCCTCTCCCAGGAATTCTGTTGTGTATCATGGTATTAGAATTAATCGTTTTGCCACTATAAGTGTGCTGGTACATGGCTTCTGTCAGTTTGATTCTTAGAATTTAAAAAAGATGGATTCTTTCTAAACATCTTTATCATATTCATAGAGCGTTTTTCTGATAAGTTTAAGGCTAATTTTTTTTTTTTTTTTTGAGATGAAGTTTCGTTCTTGTCACCCAGTCTGGAGTGCAATGGCATGATCTTGGCTCATTGCAACCTCCATCTCCTGGGTTCAAGCTATTCTCCTGTCTCAGCCTCCCAAGTAGCTGGGAGTACAGGCTTGTGCCACCATGCCCAGCTAATTTTTTTGTATTTTTAGCAGAGATGGGGTATAACTCTGTTGGCCAGACTGGTCTCAAACTCCTGACCTCAGGTGCTCCACCCACCTTGGCCTCCCAAAGTGCTGGGATTCCAGGTGTGAGCCACTGCGCCCAGCTACTTTGTTTTCCAAATACCCCATTATCTGACTCAGACTACTGGATGTATTTACTTGTGGGACTTCTCAGGAAAAAGAAGTTTGGGGCTAATGCTTTTCTCCAAATTCTAAATAATTTCACAGTATCTCTCCAGAGACACTATTTTCTCTTGGAAAAATGACACTTTCCTTTAATAACTATTTAATAAAGCCACTCTTGGTGGCTTTTCTAATGTGGGGCATCCTCCTACCATGAAAAGCCATTGACCACTCATGTTAGTCTTACCATTTTCATATTTCTAGATTGTTCTTTTCGAAAAACACGTAGCTTTGAAGTTAGCCCGCTAGCTTTAAGTGGAGTCTCCACATCTGAAACAAGTTAAAAAGAAATTTAAGTTGATAGAAAAGTAGCAATTTTAAGTTGATGGTGAAATGGTAAAATGCATATATGAGTGAAGGCAGAATCTGAGATGTGGGCTTTTTGAGAAGGCATGCAACAAATGGGATACGGACGTGAAAATTTTAGGCAGGCCGGGCGTGGTGGCTCAAGCCTGTAATCTCAGCACTTTGGGAGGCCGAGGCAGGTGGATCATGAGGTCAACAGATTGAGACCATCCTGGTCAACATGGTGAAACCCCGTCTCTACTAAAATTACAAAAAATTAGCTGGGCACGGTCGGTGGTGCTTGCCTGTAATCCCAGCTACTCTGGAGGCTGAGGCAGGAGAATTGCCTGAACCCAGGGGGCGGAGGTTGCAGTGAGCTGAGATTGCGCCATTGCACTCCAGCCTGGGTAACAAGAGCGAAACTCCGTCTCCAAAAAAAAAAAAAAAAATTTAGGCAATGTTTAATAAAGATTCTAGCGAGATAGAGATTGATGATGACAAAACGAAGGAATTGTCAGGAAGGCAAGGTGGACTGAAACTGCTCAAAGAACTCATAGGAGACTTACATTTAAGAAAAAGAGACGTCTTTTTTTTTTTTTTTTTTTTGAGATGGAGTCTATTGCCTGGGCTGGAGTGCAATAGCGCAATCTCGGCTCACTCCAACCTCTGCCTCCCAGGTCGAGATTCTCCTGCCTCAGCTGTTGTACCCAAAGCAAGTTTAAAACAGAAGCTCCACACTGAGTTTGTTGAGTCCATTTAATGCCGGCGTCCAAGAGTCAGCTATTGCTCAAACCTCTCAGCCCTGAACAAAAGGCAGTCAACATTTTTATACCTTTGCGGGGTTAGGAGAGGGAAGCAAATTGTTACAGAAGCAGAAAGAGCAGGTTAGGGGAGGGGGGACCTAACAACAAAGATTCTATTTAAAGTTGTTTGTCAAGCAGGATGTGGGGAAGGCAATGACACAGCTGCAGGTACAGGATGTATGGGCCAGTGGGCCTTGTTTCTCAGAGAAACAGGTTACAAAATACTAGGTGCCTCAGGTTACAAAGTTTCAGGAACAAAGTGCTCTACATAGCTCAGGGTGGTTAGAATGGGAGTTAACAGGATTGCTTAAAACGGAGTCACCATAGCCAGGCTAGATTATCTCACTGGAGTTCGCCTCTCCAAGGGCCAGCTCTGAACCCTATATGAACTACAATGGCCAACCTTTGACGTGGGATGGCCAAACACAGGCCCTAAGTGGTCCAGGCAGTTTGGAGGGTAGTCACAAGAAACCCAGGTCACCCCAACCAGTTCCCGTATATTGATCAGTAGCTAAGGTTGGTCCTGAACCACCACTATGGCTGAAGTCCTGTGCAGCTCAAAACCCTGCCTCTAAGGTACTCAACCATACCAGTCGGTCGCCACCCTCTTCAGCTCGGCCCCTCTAGTCCTGCCCCCATCTGGGGAGAACAAAGGTTTCCCCCTCATCCTCCCTCTGCCCTACGACCCTGTTGTTGCCCACTGTTACTTTCCTATACCCCCACTGCATCCCCACCTGTGGCCCCAAGGCTTTGGCCACAACAGGAGCTAGAGGCTGCTCCCCTCCCTCCCTTTGAGGGAGGCATCGCATCCGGCTGGTGGTGAGTGATCAACCCCATTTTTGGTTTATGTCCCATTTTCCACCTCTGATTTACATAATAGGAGAACTCAGAACCTGCTGTTTTCTGAAAAAACCCAGGTTCTGACCTCCTGGTGGAATCCATACTGCAGAATCATCATTCTACTTGGGATGACTGTCAGCAAATCCTCCACTCTTTTTACCACAGAGGAGAGCTACTATATCTGAAGGGAAGCAGGGAAACACTTCCTCACCTCCACTGGCCAACCTGAGGAGGGCAGGAACCGGTTGGAGGAGGTTTTCCCCTCAACCAGACCAGACTGGACCCTAACTCCTCAGTGGGGAGAAGGGCTTTGGACAGCTTCCACTGGTATCTTCTCTCGGGTATTAAGGGAGCTGCACAGAAGCCCATGAATTTATCTAAAACCACGGAAGTGGTCCAGGGGACAATGAGTCTCCAGGGGCATCTCCAGGAGGCCTATCGTATTTACACCCCATTTGATCTGGCTGCACCCCAAAATAGCCATGCTTTAAATTTGGCTTCTGTAACTCAGGCGGCCCCAGACATCCAGAGAAAATTACAAAAGCTGGAGGAATTTGCTGGAATGAGTATCACATAACTTTTAGAAATAGCCCAAAAGGTGATAACAGGGAGAATGAGAAACAAAACCAGGCGGCCCAAGCTGCTTGTGACAAGGCTTCCAAAAGACAGGCAAAAATTTTGGTGGCTGCCCTCCAGGAGGCACGGGGAAGACCCCCCTCCCCAACAAATCAACAAGGGCCGTCAGTTGGGGGCCTGAGCTCCGCTCCAGTGAAATCAGTGCGCCTACTGTAAAAAACTGGAAAAATGCCCCAAAAGACAAGGAACTGAAAAAAAAGAAACTGCTAGCCTTGGAGGAGCTAGAAGATTGACAGGGCTGGGGCTCATTCTTGCTTGGTCCCCAGAAGCCCATGGTCAGCGCCACAGTACAGGGTCACCCTGTAAAATTTTTAATTGACGCTGGAGTGAAACGCTCAGTATTAAAAACACCTTTGGGCCAGGTGAACTGATCACAAAAGGAGCAGTTCAAGGGGCCACAGGGACTATCTGCAACTATGAGAAGTAAACCTATCTCATTCCTTCTTGGTAGTTCCACCCATATCCCCTAATGGGAAGTTATCTACTCCATAAACTGCAAGCCTCTATCTCCTTCTCAACCCGAGGAACTCATCTCACCTTAGAGAACCAGGACTCATCAACTACCCACCTCTTACTGACCACCCCCCACCCCACCCCGCCATGTCAGATGAATACCTCCTGGTTTTAAATGCCCCACCATAGCCTCAGAAAACAGCTCACTTATGCTGGAATTAGAGGCCTAGTTTCACCCCTTTTGGGTGGAATCAACCCCCTGGGACTGGCAAAACACCACCCTCCTGGGACAGTGGAGTTGTTGGCTGCAGCTCTACCAGTACAAGTAAAACAGTATCCCATGAGTCAAAAAGCCAGGGAAGGCGTAAGTCCCCATATACAGCGGCTACTGCAGGCAGATATTTTAAGGCCATTCCTGCCAGTAAAGAAGCCTGGTACCAATGACTATCAGCTGGTCCAGGATTTTCGGGACGTTAACAAGCAGTCTAGTCACTATTCACCCAACTGTCCCAAACCCATACATCCTCCTCAGCCTGCTCCTGCCAAACCATACAGTATACACTGTTTTGGACTTAAAGGATGCCTTCTTTGTCATCCCCTTGGCCAACAGCAGCCAGCCAATCTTTGCTTTCAAATGGACAGATCCAAACTCGGGAGACACCACCCAACTTGCTTGGACCTGCTTATCCCAGGGGTTCAAGAATTCTCCTACCCTTTTTGGAGATGTTCTCCAACAAAACCTAGTGCCTTTCCGAGCCAGTCATCTAGACTGCACCCTTCTCCAGTATGTAGGTGACTCACTGCTGGCCACGGAAATGGCCAACAGCTGTCTACAACATACAAAAGACTTGCTGTGTCTCCTCCTGGGACTTGGATACCAAGTCTCAGCAAAAGAGGCCCAAGTCTGCCTCCAAAAGGTACTTTACTTAGGATATGAACTCACCAAGGGAAAGTGAGCACTTTCCAATGCTCAACAACAGGCTATCTTGCAAATTCCAAAAAACAGGTGTGGGAATTCCTGGGGGCAGCAGGGTACTGCCGCCTCTGGATTCTGGGGTTCACAGAAATTGCAAAACCCCTCTACACCATGACCAGTGGAAGCAGGGAGTTGGTCTGGACTGAGACAGAGGAACAGGCCTTCCAGAACCTAAAAAGGGCTCTCACTGAAGCACTGGCTTTGGCACTCCCCGATGTGTCAAAACCTTTCCACCTCTTTGTTCATGAAAACAAGGGCATGGCCAAGGGAGTCCTCACCCAGTCCCTGGGACCATGGTGGCAGCCAGATGCCTACTTATCAAAAAAATTGGATCCAGTGGCTTCAGGTTGGCCAAGCTGCCTGTGGGCAGTGGCAGCTACTGCAAGTTTGGTCCAGGAAGCCGGTAAGTTAACCTTGGGCCAAGAACTAACCCTTTCAGCACCCCGTGCAGTGGAAACTCTGCTCAAGAGTGCCTCGGGAAAATGGATGTCAAACTCGCGGATCTTACAGTACTGAAGCCTGCTACTGGAGCAGCCCAGGCTGACTTTCCATCCTGCATGATGCTTGGATCTGGCAACTTTGCTCCCAGACCCAGACTTCTCTGCTCCCATTCATGACTGCCAAGAAATACTTGAGGTCACTAAGACCACCAGTAGGCCAGACTTGCAAGATACCCCTCTGGAACAGGCGGATGCAACTCTGTTCACCGATGGAAGCAGTTTCATCAACCAGGAGGTATGCAGGGTCAGTGCAGCTATCACAACAGAGACCAATATTATCTGGGCCCAAGCACTACCCAATGGCACCTCCGCACAAAAGCCTGAACTAGTAGTCCTCACCCAGGGCCAAAGACAAGCAAGTAAACATCTACACTGACAGTCGATATGCCTTTGCTACTGTACATGTACATGGGGCCATATACTGGGAGAGGGGTTTACTTACCTCTGCAGGATAAACTATCAAAAACAAAGAGGAAATCCTGGCCCTGCTCGATGCCATATGGCGTCCCTGTCAGGTTGCTGTAATCCACTGCAAAGGACACCGGAGAGAAACATGACCATTGCCTGGGGAAACCAGAAGGCAGACTCTGCAGCCTATGAAGCAGCTATGCTTCCTGTCACTCCACTGACACTGTTGCCAGTCGTATCCTACCCACAGCCAGAGCTGCCCATCCATCCAACATATTCTCCAGAGAAAGAGAAGCAAGCATCAGATCTTCAGGCCAACAAAAACCAAAATGGATGGTGGATCGCCTTGGACTCGAGAATCTTCCTGCCTGAGTCCCTTGGGTGGGCCCTAGTTGGCCAACTTCATTCCACCACTCACCTAGGAGGAACCAAGTTGGCTCAGCTTTTACAGGGTACTTCAAAATCCCCCACCTTCAGGACTTAACTGTACTGGCAGCTTACAACCGCATGGCCTGGGCACAAGTAAACACCAGGCAAGGTCCCAAACCTGAACTGGGCCACTGCCTCCGAGGATGCAGCCCAGGAGAAAGGTGGGAAATAGACTTTACAGAAATAAAACCACACTAGGCAGGATCCAAGTATCTCCTGGTGATGGTCGATACTTTTTCCAGATGGACTGAGGCGTTTGCCACTCGAAATTAAACTGCATCCACAGTAATAAACATAAATGAAATCACTCCCCGGTACAGGCTGCCAATTGCCATTGGGTCAGGCAACAGTCCAGCCTTCACCATGTCCATTACTCAAGTGGTCAGTAAGGCACTAAATGTCCAATGGAAACTACACTGTGCCTACCAGTCCCAGAGCTCTGGACAGGTTGAACGCATGAACCGAACTTTAAAGGACACCCTTACAAAACTCATTCTGGACACCGGTGAGAGACGGACAAACCTCCTTCCCCTCACACTCCTTAGAGAACTAGATGCTCCCCTTATCGGGCAATTCACCCCATACGAAAATAATGTTCGGTGGAGCACCACCCATTCTACCAAGGCTGAAGGATGTCCATTTGGCAGAAATCTCTCGTGCTAACCTGTTACAGTATTTACAGTCTTTTCAACAGGTACAGGACTTTATCCAGCCGCTTGTTTGAGAAACATACTGGACCCCCACTTCTGACCATCTGACCCGCCTACATCCGGTCATCCCTTCCACCCAGGAGACCTCATGTATATCAAAGTTCCAGAAGGAAGGACTTACCCCATCATGGAAGGAACCCTACACCATGATCCTAGCAAGCCCCACTACCTGAAGGTTAACAGTTTTCCAACCTGGATCCACTGCTCCTGCGCGAAGTCCGCTACCGAGACTCAACAAGCAACATGGGTCCCTGAGCCAGGACCTCCTCTCTTAAGCCTACGAGATTAGGGCAGGCAGGTCAACTTGGAGGATTAACTCTGTGTGGGACAGCATCCCCTTCCAGGTAGTATTACTGACCACTTGTCCTGCTGGAAGGAGTAGGTGTGCCTCTCTGAGACCCAACACTGGTGTGTGGTGATGGGGGGAGAAATGAGAGAGAGCACAACTACTCCTACCAGTCTGCCCGAATCTAGGAAGTCAGCCCTCTTTTCAGTTGGGGCTCCCAGGGTGACCCTGGGATGCCTTGGCTGGGATGTGGGAGATCCGACAATGAGGAAAAGGAACTTTAGTAAATTGACTTTTACATGTGTCCAGGAAACCCCTCAGATGTAAACTATCAGCAAGCAGATGAGTATTTCTGCCCATATTGGTCCCGTGTAACCCTAGCCGCCTATCACGGGGGACCAACAAAATCTTCAACCCTCCCTTTAGCCCTTGCTGCCCATCCAAAAACATGCTCTATGGGATCCTCTAATCCCCTAAACCTACCATCCACAATCCCTCTGCCTTCTCTTGACCATGGGGATGATCTGGGGACTCAGGCTATATGTAACTGGATGGGATTCGGGCACTCTGTTCGTAATCCAAAAAAAGGTCCTTACCTACTGGAGACTGCCGAAACCTACTGGGCCATATCAGACTTAGGAGGACCTATGTTCCAGCCCCATCCCCAGTAAAAATTTCAGCCGGCCCACCCTGGGTGGTCTCCGGGCTCGGGCCTAAACCTCATCTAGCCCCAATTCTAATGTATATCCTTGCTAACATGCATAAGCTTCTAAATACCACCCAACCCAAACTGACTCAAGACAGTTGGCTGTGCCTAAAAACAAAACCTCCATAGTATATGGGAGTAGGAGCAGAAAAACCTATCCCACTTGAATCTCCTCCCTGCACAAAGCCTACCCGCTTGCTCACTCTAAGTTATACTGTGGGAAACGCATCCTGCTTAATCATCTCTGGATATAACCTGTCTGCTTCTCCCTTTCAGACTACTTGCAGTCAGTCTTTACTCACTGTTAGGAACTCCTCATTGTCCTGTCGAGCTCCCAATGGCATCTGGTTGGCCTGCACCTCCAGTCTCACCCGTTGCATAAATGGATAACTCTGGAGAACCCAAACTGTGTGTCTTGGTCCATATACTTCCCCAAGTGTATGCATACAGTGGACCAGAAGGACACCTCCTCTTCACCCCGCCAGGACTATACTCCAGGTTCAGCCATGGGGCCCTGATTCTAGTGCCTCTCTTGGTAGGACTTGGTATAGCAGGCTGCACTGCCCTGGGGTCTGCTGCTTTAATCCAAGGAGAAACTGCACTGGTGTCAATATCCCAACACACTGATACTGATCTAGAAGAAATTCACTCAGCCATAAACATGCTGGATGCCCAATCAGATTCCCTAGGCAAGTTGGTCCTTCAAAACCACTGGGGTTTAGATTTGTTGTTTCTGTCCCAAGAAGACTCAGTGCTAGATCAGGGGAAAGCTGTTGTTTCTATGCCAACAAGTCTGGAGTCATCGGAGATACTCTCCAAAGAGTCAGGGATAACTTAGACAAACGCTGCGAGAGCAGAAGAATAATACTCCCTGGTACCAGGAACTGTTTAACTGGAAGCCCTGGCTCACAACCCTGATCACCAGGCTGGCAGGCCCCCTACTTCTTCTTCTTTTAGGCCTAACTTCTGGACCACGCATACTAAACTGGCTCCTAAAATTGATTAGGCAGCCCACAGCCTGTCAGCCTCATGTACCTCAGAACCCACTACCATCCTGTAGATGCCACTGAGGAATCCATGATTTGATTCTGCCAAAACATCAGTGGGGAATGACATAATCTAGCCTGGCTATGGTGACTCCATTTTAAGCAATCCTATTAACTCCATTCTAACCACCATGAGCTATGAGAGCACTTTGTTCCTGAAACTTTGTAGCCTGAGGCATCTGGTATTTTGTAACCTGTTTCTCTGAGAAACACGGCCCACTGGCCCATACATTCTGTACCTGCAGCTGTGTCACTGCCTTCCCCACATCCTGCTGGACAACTTTAAATAGAATCTTTGTTGTTAGGTCCCCCCTCCCCTAACCTGCTCTTTCTGCTTCTCTAACAACTTGCTTTCCATCCCCTAACCCCGCAAAGGTATAAAAATGTTGACTGCCTTCTGTTTGGGGCGGAGAGGTTTGAGCAATAGCTGACTTTAGGACATCAGCATTAAACGGACTCCCAACAGACTCAGTGTGGCGCTTCTGTTTTACACTCGCTTTGGGTACAGCACAGCCTCCCAAGTAGCTGGGATCACAGGCATGCGCCACCATGCCCGGCTACGTTTTTGTACTTTTAGTACAGACAGGGTTTCACTGTGTTAGCCAGGATGGCCTTGATCTTCTGACCTTGTGATCCACCCAGCTCAGCTTCCTAAAGTGCTGGGATTACAGGCGGGAGCCACAGTGGCTGCCCAGCGTGTCTCTTTTTTTTTACTCTCCTGAGGCCAAAGTAAAGTATGAGATGACAAACTGGAATTTGAAGTAATGAAGGCACGTGAGCCTCAGACCAAGCATTCTTGGCCTTGTTGGGAAAAGGGGCATTTATGCAGTTCTCTCCCTGGTATTTCCCAACGTATTATAATGCTCCCAACTTCTCACTCCCTGGCCAGACCTGTCCCTCACAATGATTTATATCCACCTGGTGCTCACCTGGTTGGGTACCTGGGACAATTCCTCTCTCCTGTCATCAACTTATCTTCTTGCTCCAACTGGGAGATCAGACGTCTATCAACTTGGTTCCCTGTACATGGAGAAAAGGCACATGATGTAGGGGTCTGTGCAGCAGATAAGCTCCCCCATGAAGCTGAAATCAGTACTTATGAAGGTGAAGAGGTGTGACTTCAGGAGCAGAGGAATCATTATGCCAAAATTGAATATATAAAGTAACCCTCTTTCACAAAAATTAAAAGAAAAAAAAAAATCACAAGCCTCTTCAGTCAATAGCTAAGGCGGTTGCAGGATAACTGGTCCCAGGAGCCCCAGTCCAGGTTTCAATACAGAATTTGAAAGCCCAAGATTTAACTACAGAGAATATACCGTCAGTGTGGGAAGTAGAAAAGTTCCCTTTCTTGTTAAAGAATAAGTGTGCTAATAACTTTCTGAAGCCCTATCCTAGGTAGGTGTCAGACATGTCATGCTCACAGGCACATAGTACATTCTATGTCCTTGTACTTTAACCAAGATATCTGCGCTGGACGTGCTCACAAGCATGTCCCAGCTCTCCGCTGCTTTTACCTAAGTTTTAAGTTGTTAGCCAATTGGGTTTCAGTTTGGACTGTGAGGTCTGGCTACAGCCAAAGGAGATCAGACATAGCAGTAAGGACAACCCCAAATGTGTAAAAAATAAATCTGTGTGTTCTCCTTTGTTCATTTTACTCTTGTGGCATGATGGCTAGCATGGGTGCCCTCTCCTGCAGTCCAGGAAGTAAAAAGTGTGTTGCTGAAGAGTCCTTTGTCTCAGTGTTAATTTTTCTTTGCGGCACCGACCATCTATTTCCAACAGTCAGGGCAAGAAGTAAATCTGCATTTCATGGGAACAGCCTGAGACAGACAGCTCCATGAGGGTGGGGGCCGCGTCTGTTGCATTCTTCACTGCACTCCCACATCCTAGTACAGACCTGGGAACACTCGTGCTTAAGAAGGACTTAAAAGAAGTGATGTCAGGGAAAGTAGTGAACTAGGGAACTCCAAAACTCCATCCCTTCACAGAAACAGTAAGTAAATGGGGCAAAACCAGAATCAACTTCACTGGAACTCTGTAAACTTTTGATAACATTCCAATCACAGGAGAATGCCTAATCAAGACAGCTGAATCTGGGTAAGAGGGATTTGTGACATTTTAACTGACTCTAGCCGCATACTCTATTGCCCATTTTGTGTTGGAGACAACAACTGTATTTCTAGTATTAAAGGTAACAGAATGCACCTTCTTCCAAAAATCTGTGGTTGGTTGCTTTGACTATCTGGTGGCTTCCTGATGTGCTGGGTCAAAGGGCTTCCCTTTATTTGTGTAACTTTGAACTCACAGGTCTGGAGAGGCTATACCTGTGGAAGCTGGAGGGTAGAGAGGGAAGTGTGTCCCAACACATCTAAAGGCAAATACATTTAGACACTGCTGAATGGGGCAAGGGAAAACTGTGAAGCAAACGAAAGACTAAACCAAAAAACCTGGGAGAAGTGGGAACAAGATGCGCTGGGGAGCAGAGAATCTTTCCACACATTCCTCACCCACACCAACAAGACGGAGTCTTGCTCTATTGCCCAGGCTGGAGTGCAGTCATGTGATCTTGGCTGACTGCAACCTCCACCTCCTGGGTTCAAGCATTCCTCCTAACTCAGCCTCCTGAGTAGCTAGGATTACAGGCATGTGCCACCATGCTTGCCATACTTTTAGTAAAGACAGGGTTTCACCACCTTGGCTAGGTTGGTCTCAAACTCCTGAGCTCAGATGATTCGTCCCCCTTGGCCTCCCAAAGTGCTGGGATTACAGGCGCGAGCCACCGCGCCCGGCCTCCACACATTCCTAGAAGGCCATGCACATACCCAGGGATGAACACATGCTCAGAAAAAATCTGAGAAGGCACCAAGCCCTCACCTTTGACTGACCTTCACGCTCTGCATAAGCAGGAATTGAAGGCTAAGGCAGAATTGTAAAGTGTTTTAGCTGAGTGTTGAAGGCATGCTCCAACATATAATTCAGATCCATCGGCAAAGACTAGTAACCTTTAGGGTTCCAGGTATTAAGAAAATCTCTGACAGATTAGTCACAAGCTGAACATCATGCTAACAGAACAGAGACTTCAGTGGCCACACATGACAAATATGGACATGACAAAATTAGTGCAGAAATGTCACTAAACAAATAATACCAACTACAACAAACCTTGGGGAAAATCAAATTTACAGAACTGCCATATTGTCATATTCTGAAAGTAGTTTTCAGCAAATAAATTATGAGGCACATAGAAAACAAAAATGAAACTGCATCATAGGAAAAAAATGAACAGAAATTGTCCCTAAGGAAACCTAGTCATTGGACTTATTAGGCAATAACTTCAAATCAACCATTTCAAATATGCTGAAAGAGTTAATGGAAATTGTGTACAAAGAATGGAACCACAAGAATGATTCTCACCAAACAGAGAAAATCCTAAAGAGATGGAAATTATAAAAAGGAGCCAGATTGAAGATCCAAGATGGCTGATTAGGAGCAGCTCAGGATTGCAGCTCCCAGTGAAAGTGCAGAGGGTGAATGGATGCCACATTTCCAGACGGATTTTTATTGCCCACAGACCAGGAAACACCCAGGCGGAGGAGCCCCATGGGTCGCCAGTGCAGCTGTTTTGGCCAGCGCGGCTGTTTTGCCGGCGCCTGGGCGTGGTGGTTCTCCATACAAAATACACTGATCTGGGTGCTTTTTTAGCTGGCAATTGGTGCTCCAGGAAGGCAGTGTTGCCCATTCATCCGATTAAAAAGGGGACTGAAACAGGGAGCCAGGCCAGGAGATTCCTGGGCAAAAAAGGACCACGAATCTCAGCGCCGCTGTTTCAGGAGGCGTAGTGGGTTGCTGCACGGGAAATCACACAGATCCCGGCACCTTTTCAACAGGCGACTGGAACACCTGGGAGAGAGTCAACTGTTCAACTGAAAAAAAAAAAAAAAAAGGCTCTGAGGCAGGGAGCCAGGTCATCAGGCTCGGCTGGTCCCACCCCCACAAAAAAACAGCAATTGGAAATGCTCTGGGTTGAGAGTTTCACGGCAAGCACAGCTGAACCCGGGAAGGTCCAGCTCTGCAGGGAGGGGTGTCCGCCATTACCAAGGTACTCCACCACTAAGGAGGTAGTCCGCCATTGATGAGGCAGCCTGCCATTGCCGAGGCAACCTGCCATTACAGAAGTGGGCCACCATTGCCCAGGCAGTTCTAACTATACCCATATAAACAGGACTGCAGGGAAGTTCACACAACAGCTGGGCAGAGCCCACAGTGGCTCAGCAAAGCCTCTGCAGGCAGATAGTGACTAGGCTACCTCGTTGCTGAGTAGAGCAGCCCTGAAAAAAACGCAGCAGCACAACGGAAACTCATAAATAAAGCCCTAACTCCCTGGGACAGAACACCTGGTAAAAAAAAAGGGGGGTTTATGAGTTCTGCTGCAGCAGACTTAAACGTACCTGCCCAGCAGCTCTGAATGAACAACAGAGCTCACAGTTCAGCACTTGAGCTCCCATAAAGGACAGACTGTCTCCTCAAGTAGCTCCCTGACCCCCATATATCCAGAGTCACCTCATAAAGGAGAGATCAGACTGACATTTGGCGGGTATCCTTCTGGGACAAAGATAGCAGAAGAAGAAACTGGTAGCAGCCCTTACTGTTCTGCAGCTGCTGCAGGTGATCCCTAGGCAAGCAGGGCCTAGAGTGGACCTCAGCAGTCCTACAGCAGAGGGGCCAGACTGTTAAAAGGAAAACTAAGAAACATAAATAACTTCATCATCAACAAACTGGACATCCACTCAGAGACCCAATCTGAAAGTCAGCAACTACAAAGATGACAGTTGGATAAATCCACAAAGATGGAAAGAAACCAGCACAAAAAGGATGAAAACACCCAAAACCAAAACACCTCTCCTCCTACAAGGGATCACAACTCCTCACCAGCAACTGAACAAGGCTGGATGGAGAATGAGTGTGATGAAATGACAGAATCAGGCTTCAGAAGGTGGGTAATAAGAAACTTCCTTGAGCTAAAACAACCTGTTCTAACCCGATGCAAAGAAACTAAGAACCTTGAAAAAAGATTTGACGAAATGCTAACGAGAATGGACAACTTAGAGAGGAATATAAGTGAATTGATGAAGCTGAAAAACACAACACAAGAATGTCACGAAGCATGCACAAGTTTCAACAGCTGAACTGACCAAGCAGAAGAAAGGATATCAGAGGTCGAAGATCAAGTCAATGAAATAAAACGAGAAGGCAAGATTAGAGAAAAAAGAGTAAAAAGGAATGAACAAAGTCTCCAAGAAATATGGGACTATGTGAAAGACCTAATCTACATTTGATAGGTGTACCTAAATGTGACGCAGAGAATGAATCAAAGCTGGAATATACTCTTCAGGATATCATCCAGGAAAACTTCCCCAACCTAGCAAGGCAGGCCAATATTCAAGTCCAGGAAATACAGAGACCACCACAAAGATATTCCTCAAGAAGAGCAACCCCAAGGCACATAATCATCAGATTCACCAGGGTTGAAATGAAGGAGAAAATACTAAGGGCAGCCAGAGAGAAAGGTTGGGTTACCCACAAAGGGAAGCCCATCAGAGACTCACAGCAGATCTCTCAGCAGAAACCCTACAGGCCAGAAGAGAGTGGGGGCCAATATTCAACATCCTTAAAGAAAAGAACTTTCAACCCAGAATTTCATATCCAGCCAAACTAAGCTTCATAAATGAAGGAAAAATAAAATCCTTTGCAAACAAGCAAGTACTCATAGATTTCATCACCACAGGGCCTGCTTTACAAGAGCTCCTGAAACAGGCACTACACATAGAAAGGAAAAACCAGTACCAGCCACTCCAAAAACATACCAAATGGTAAAAAGCATCAATACAATGAAGAATCCACATCAACTAACTGGCAAAACAGCCAGCTAGCATCAAAATGGCAGTATCAAATTCATACATAATAATATTAACCCTAAATGTAAATGGACTAAATGCCCCAATCAAAAGACACAGACTAGCAAATTGGATAAAAAGCCAAAACCCATCAGTGTGCTGTATCCAGGAAACCCATCTCACATGAAAGGATACACAAAGGCTCAAAATAAAGGGATGGAGGAAGATTTACCAAGCAAATGGAAAGCAAAAAAAAAGCAGGAGTTGCAATTCTCATCTCTGATAAAATAGACTTTAAAGCAACAAAGATCAAAAGAGACAAAGAAGGACATTACATAATGGTAAAAGGATCAATGCAACAAGAAGAGCTAACAATCCTAAATATATATGCACCCAATACAGGAGCACCCAGATACATACAACAAGTTCTTAATGACTTACAAAGAGACTTAGACTCCCACACAATAATAGTGGGAGACTTTAACACCCCATTGTCAATATTAGACATATCAACCAGACAGAAAATTAACAAGGATATCCAGGACTTGAACTCAGACCTGGAAGAAGCAAACCTAATAGACATTTACAGAAGTCTCCACCCCAAAGCCACAGAATATACATTCTTCTCAGCACCATATCACACCTACTCTAAAATTGACCACATAATTGGAAGTAAATCACTCCTCAGCAAATGCAAAAGAATGGAAATCATGACAAATAGTCTCTCAGACAACAGTGCAATTAAGTTAAAACTCAGAATTCAGAAACTCAGAACTGCACAGCTTCATGGAAACTGAACAACTGGCTCTTGAATGTTGACTGGATAAACAATGAA